GGCACTGGAGAGAGTCCAGCAAAGGGCTGGAAAGCATGGAGAAGGGCTGAGGGAGTTGGGCTTGGTTAGCCTGGAGAAGAAGAGGTTCAGGGGTGACCTCCTGGCTCTCTGCAGCTACCTGGCAGAGGTTTGAAGAGAGGTGGGGGATGCCATGCCTGGCTCCTGCCATGCCTGCAGTGAGAAGACTAGAGGGAAGGGCCTTAAGCTGAGACAGGGGAGAGTTGGAGTAGATATAGGAAAAATATTTTCCTTGTGAGGGTGTTCAGGCACTGGGATATTGCCCAGGGAGGTGATGGAGTCACCAGCCCTGGAGGTGTTTAAGAGGCCTCTGGATGATATGGTTTAGGGGGTTACAGCAGGGACAAGTTAATCGTTGGACTTGATGATCTTGGAAGTCTCTTCCAACCTTGATGGTTCTATGATTAAGGATCAAAAGGAGGATTCTTTCATCTAGCTGATGAGTTCTTCAAGAAAAAGAATTGCCATGGCACTTAGTTTTGAGTCTTTTAAGGAGCTTTGACAGTATCAAAGTGTTCGTGCTAACTTGTCTCCCTCCTGGTTCTGTGCTCCCCAGCTGATCGTGTGAAGAAAGGGTTTGATTTCCAGTGGCCACAGCCTGATAAGCCAATGTTCTTCTATGTGACACAAGGGCAGGAGGAAATTGCCAGCTCAGGCACCTCTTACTTAAACAGGTAACCAAAACTCCACACTGACACGTCAGCTTGGCCTCAGATGCATCATGTGCTGGGACACAGCACAGCAATCTGGTTCGAGAGCAATCAGACCTTGTTCCCAGGTAGTGGCCACGATGGAAGCTGCTTGTGGGGCTCCTCAGTAAAAGCTGCCATCAGGCAGGCTGAGCTGCAGTTTGGAGCTGGTTTGCCCTGGGCTCCCCTTGCAGTAAACCAAGAGGGAGCAGCTCAGAGCTTTGGTGGATTTGAGTTGTTGTGTGGAGGTGTGTAAGGAGCATGGGAGGACTGAGTGCCTGATACTGGGGTGAATTTGGGCCAGCAAGTGAAGTGACTGCAGCTGCAGCAGGAAATGCTGATCAAGGAGCATTTTGAAGCCAGAATTCCAACAACTCCTGAAGCAAAGTCCTGAATCTTACACTTGGTGTCGGTGCAAAAGGAATGGAAATAACTCTTT